GAGGTAAGAAGATTAATGGAATCTGGGATGTTCTTTGCCCTGAAAGAAAATTTTTCTTGGCAAATGGTTCAGATATTAAATGTTTATGGTGCATTCTTGCTTCATCTTTATTATATTTCCTTCATAATACAACTTGTCGAGATTTCTCACAGAGAATTAACAGATTACCCTGAAATACTGCCTTTTCATTTTCAAAATATTACAGAGTTGTAGAGTTAATTGGAATCCTATTGACCATAGACAGGGAAGTTGTCATTATCTACTTTGGGACCATAAGCAGAATAGCATATTATGTAATTAACATAACTAAAAGGTGCATTATTCCTAAATACATAAACACAATCTGTTTAGCCTGCATAATGTTGCTTGTGTGAATTTTAAAAGGAATGTATGTAGAAGTATATGGGTGTGTTCAGAAGGAGGAAAGAAAAGGGAGAAATGATGTAATTATACTCAAAAAATAAAAGAAAACATTTCAAACGTGCATTAATTTAAATCACTGCAATTTTATGAAAAAGTAATACAAACAAATAAAACGTAGAAAAAAACAACTGAACAAAGTATTCTTGAAACTTTTTAATTATATTTTTACTCCCACTTTAAACTCTGTAGAGAGAAAAACATACTTGAGAGGGCTGAAGCATGGGCTGGCATATGTTGGTTATATCACTGCTAAGTTCCATCACAGTTATATGTTGATAGAAGAGCCATTGTACTTTCTACTACAACATGAGCTAAGAACATCCTTGTCCTTCTAATTCCACAAGACAGTTCTTATTCTCTTTGAATCTTACCTTTGTTTTCCCAAAGCAAACCGTCAGGACCAGAACACACATATTGGAAGTTCACTGATATTTTTAAATTAAAAGTAGTCTCCTTTGCAAAAGAAGTAGGAACTATCTTGTCATACATCATATCATAACATGGTGTTCCTGAGAACTGTAACAGTAAGGTCAAGTAAACATAAGCAACAGAGATTTCTTTCTTTTTTCCAGTTTTTCAAGACAGGTTTCTCTGTGCAGCTTTGGAGCCTATCCTGGCACTTGCTCTGTAGACCAGGTTGGTCTAGAACTCACAGAAATCCACCTGCCTCTGCATCCCAAGTGCTGGGATTAAAGGCGTGTGCCACCAACGCCCTGCCAGAGATTTCTTAGTATGTAGCTATCAAAGCTAAATGTCTTTTCTATCCCGTTATCTGGCAATCCCTAGAGCAAAAGTAGATGAGTATGAACTATTTTTATAAATGCACCAGTATTGCCTGCTATCAACTTCAACCAACTATTTAATGAATGCCAGTTCTGTTGGGCAACATTTTGTAGTAATTTTCACTGGTACATATGTGCCTATATGAATTTGTGTTTTATATACTGGCAATCAAATTCTGTAAATGTCAAGAAAGAACTCAACTACTACAGTAAAACATAGCTCATAATTTTACTTTCTAATACAATGAAAATCTACTTTTTCCACACAAAGGTTTTATAAGTTCTCACTATTGAAACATCAGAAAATTTGTCATTGACCTATTTTTAAGGACACTGATTTTTTTAATGTGCCACTGCCCTTACTACAGCTACTTTTTAGTCCTCTTAACTACACACAGCATAAAACAAAATGACCCCAGAGACAAGTTCTCTGTGTTATCCAAATGAAGAATCTGAATTGGCTTTTAGTCAACATCTACTTACAAATGTGCACTTAGAGACAATGAGCTAAATGGTTGGTCAAGATCAAATGAAGCATACTAATACCAGTGCATCTTCTTTCCTGTTGTGTTAGTTGGTTGGTTGATTTGTTTTCTGAGCCAGTCTCAAGTTAGACAGGGTGGCCTCTAGTTTGAGGAAGACCTTGAATTTATAGTCCTTTTGCTTCTTCCTCTCAAGAGATGGGGCAGTTGATCTCAGCAACCAAGCCTGAATCTAATGCATTTTTCTCCAATACTCGTAGTTCTGAAACACCTTTATTTGAATTCTTCACATAGAACTTCCCTTTCCCTGATATTGTTTGTTTGCCATTAAGAGTTAGTACACACACACACACACACACACACACACACACACACACACACACACACACACAGTTTCATTAGGGATCTCCGCAAATCCCAAGGTAGGAAGTTCCATATATCATTTACCATTATGCATTTCATTGTCAATATCGGGAAGACATTTAAAAAGCTAAGTTTAGTAAGTCACTCTTTTGTCAGATAGTACAAATAACACACTAATTACAAAAAAGAAAAAGAAAAAAGACAACCTGCCTTTTCTCTGTCAGACTTCAGGCAATATCAACTAACATAATGATGATGAAGCTACACGGTTGACCAAATATTTCACAAAGTATCTTCTCAGAAACTGTACTCCCCTCAGAATATGATTCGATTTCTGACACTCTCTACCCTTGGATGGGATCAGCTCCACAATCATTTGTAAAGACTCATACACACAAAAGTAATTCTGTCTGTAAAGAAGTAACCAAACTGACAGTTGTCAATTTTGTTCTACTTTTTTCTCTTCCTTTCTTTGAAGTTGATCTAAGATTTTATTATTCATTCAGGTTTAGCTTCTGCTTTAGTTCCTTTATCTCATTTAATTGCTTGAAATTAGGACTCATCAATTTTCTATAAATTTTGCATTTAGTCTCTTTTATTTCTCATACATGAATATAAATGTTAACATAATTTTATCATTTCCACAAAAATATTCTAAAAATATTTCCTCTTGTCCTTAATAGCTAAATTATTGACATAAAATTCATGCTCATATTCTATTTTTCAAGTGCCATATTAATGTTTTCATTTTTCTCTCTGCTGAAATTTTCTAAACAAATAAACGCATATTTACATTGTCTTCCAATAATTCCATTAATTTGTATTTAGTTAAGACAAATAAGAGTGAGATTCCATAGTAAGATAACTATCTTAACTTTTACAGAAGATCATATATAATAGCACTAAAGTAAACCTAACCACCTCAGTGTAACAATCTTAATGTAATATAGGATATGTTCACTAAGAGGATCCATTACCCAAAAGATGATGCTGAAACTTCCCAGCACCCAGAAAGTCCTTCCTCTCAATTATAGGTTATTCTCTTGCTCCCACCACTCTGTGAAACTTTACATATGACTGAAATTTACCAATGATACATTTTGTCCTAGATTTCATTTGGGTCCTGAAAACAAAATTGGGTGTTCATTGAGTAAAAAGTATAATACAGAATTTCAAGTTGGAGGATTGCATTTACAAGGGAAGGGAGGCAAAATTATACAGATAATATGCTACTTGAATGATAATATAATTGTAATATAATTTGTAGTACTGCCATAGATGCATTAGGAGAACCAATTCAGAGTTAAATGGAAATTATTCATTAATGCACAAACAGCATTTAAGCATTATTCATTCTACACATAATAAATAAAATAAACTTCTAAAGATTTGGCCCATTAATAAAAGTTCTAGACAATCATGATGTATTAATTTTAAGTTGTAGGGGCTGCAGAGATGGCTCAGTGACTAAGCCTACTAGTGGCTCTTACAGAGGACATGGATTCAGTTCTCAGTACCCATAAGGTAGCTTATAATCATCCATATCCCAAATTCTAGGGTATCAAACAGGAGTACATATGTTACAGATACATGCATGCAAGTAGAGCATCCATATAAAGAATGTAAAATGAATAAATCTCTTCTAGAATAGGAAATATTGCACATTTACTCTACCACTAAGCTACATCTTAAGCCATATATATACATGTATCTATGACTTAAAATTTTATATATGTAATTGTGAGTCATGGTCTTCAGAGTCCAAGCTGCTGGCTTGAACTCACTCTAGAATGTAGAGAAGATTTAAATTCTCTCTGCCTCAGCCTCCTAATTATGTAGGACCACAAGACTATGCTTCTAGCATTCAGATATCTCTGTCTACATGATCAACATCCTAATTTACCCTGACTAAGAAATACTACAAAAGTACGAAATCTTCACTGAAAGAATTAGGTTGCATTTAGAAGGATATAAACATTTTTTGCAATGCATTCTTAGCATTGCAGTGAAGTTAAGAGTGAAACAGGAAGGGAAGAAAATGAAGAAATATTTCATAATACCATAAAATATTCTGAAAATAAATTAGGATGCTAATTCTACAAGTCTGGATCAATGAGAAATGCGAAGAAAGCCTTTAGATTCTGATGTGCCTCTCATCCAGTTGAGATAATCGTCCCATTTCTTTCATGTTCTCTTAAATTTTTATGAGGAACTTTTAATCAGAGGGAACCTAATAATTTTCCAACAATCTTTTTGGTCACACAGCAAGATATATCCATTGGATTTAAAATTCAAAGACATTCCTTTGCATTTGTGAGATAAATGCTACCTAGAGCATAATGTCATATTAACTTTAAATTTTAAAAACTTTGTCTTTAAAATTTTATGAAGTGCTTTGTTGTCTCATTTTATTTTGATATAAACTGCTTTTCTAATTTTGTTACTATAGCAGCACCTATAGCAGAAAATAAATGTGACTCAGATATGAGGATTAAGTATCATGAGGGCTGCAATAACTATATGAAATTAAGTGGAATCATATAAATAATAGTAATACTGGAAGATAAGTGGATACTTAAAGTGTTTCACTCAAAAAATTGATTAATGAGTCAAATTTTTAAGATATGTGTTCATCAAATATTTTTTAAACCATGTGTGTAGTTTCAGCTACTGACATAGTAAATGCCATTTTACACACATTAGAGAATCTTTTTACACATTTAACTTGGACTTCATTCCTATATGTTCTCTAACTCTCATTTTCAAGAAAGGTAAGAAACTTTTAAAGTCAAAGTAAGAGACATTTTGTAAGAGAAACATTGAGTGAGAACTCCATGATTATGACTGAAGTGTCTGAATGCCCCTTGATCAAATTGTCAGTTGAAGAACACTGAAAAAGATACATGCTGAGAAGCAGCCTGACAATGTTCATGAACCTCCAATATTTGAGTTACTCTTTCTTTACAAATATTTTCATGACACCCTCTCTAATTTGTTTCGTTCTCACTCCATAAATAACCGGATTTAAACATGGAGGGACAACCACATAGAGATTGGCCAAAAGGATGTGAATGTAGCGAGGAATATTTCTACCAAATCGATGGGTCATAAAAGAGAAAAATGCTGGTGTATAAAAGGCCAAAATGACACAGACATGAGAACCACATGTACTAAGGGCTTTGTGTCTGGCATCCCTAGAAGGAAGGTGAAAAACAGCCTTTAGGATCCAAATGTAGGAGAGAGCAATGAGAATTAAATCCAAGATCAGAGCAGCAATGGTAAATAAGCCATAGATGATGTTTATCCTTATGCTGGCACAAGCTAGACGAGCTATTCCCATGTGTTCACAGTAGGTATGAGGAATAATGTAGTGTCCGCAAAAGGGCAGTCGCTTAAGGAGTGGGCAGAAAGGAGTGACAAGAAGGACAGGCCTCCCTACTACAACAGAAGCCATGATAGCTACCACCTTATTGGTGAGAATAGAGGAATATCTAAGTGGGTAACAGATGGCAATAAAACGGTCAATTGCCATAGCCAGGAGTACAACAGATTCCATGCCTGTGTAGGTATGGATGAAGAACATTTGGATGAGGCAACTTTCAAAGCTTATCCCTTTAAGGCTGAACCAGAAGATACCCAGCATCTTGGGAATGGTAGAAGTGGAGAGGCCAAGATCGATGAAAGAGAGGAGGGCAAGGAAGTAGAACATGGGCTGATGAAGACTCTGCTCACTCTTGATCACACAGAGGATTATAAAATTCCCTACAAGTGCTATCAGGTAAAGCACAAAGAAAGGGAAAGCTATCCAGATGTGAAAAGCTTCCAGGCCAGGAATGCCCAGCAGAAGGAAGGCAGAGGGGTGTGAAGCAGTGTTATTGATAGGGGACATCCTTCTGGGGATCTTAGGAGATTATCTACAATCGTTCTTCAGTATTTCTGGGAAGAAACAAGAAAATAAATGAATGTTGTTTATTAGTACATATGATGACATACTAAGTAAACTCTTAGTAGTTAATTCCTTTTTAACACATTCAAGGTACCTGGGATTCAGCATATTTAAGAGAACCACCCAAAATTCTAGACAAAAGAAGAGGGGCAATTAAAATGGGAAGAAATTACAACTCTGTCATCAGAGTCCCTGATATTTAGGTGTAGCCTCTTTCTTTATTTGCTAAAATAATACTGTTCTCACACCTGCATTTTAGTGAAACAATGATGAATCAGTTATTAGTATTTTCCTATTTTGATAGAGTAAATTTATGTGTTTATGACATAAATAATTAATGCAAAATATAATGGTTATAACGGAGGAAGAAATGTATGTAGCTAAATTAAGGATCTTTGCCAAGGTTAGCTCAGTGCAGGATTGCTTGCCTAGGACCACCAAAAATTTGTTTTCTGTTTTTGATCATTTTGAAAAAATTTAGTTTAGTCTGGAAATGAATAAAATCTAAGATAATATTATACTAAATGCTGAAACACAGAAATATGTTCTTATAGGATTCATAAGAAACTAAGAATATGAATTTCATCAATTCTGTCAATATACATTTTTGGGTTTCTTCATGTTTAGCACACCAAGAAAAAAGACAGCAATCCTGGTGGCACAGGGATGTAATCTCAGCTCTGCAGGATGATGGGGCAGGAGGATCCCACTTTCAAGGTCTGCTGGGCTCCACAGTGAGTTCAAGGCCAGGCAGAGCAACTTGGTGAGAATATGTCACAGAATAAAATCTGCACACACATACAATACTAAATGATTTCAGTAAGCATTAAATTTAAAAATGAGAAAGAGAAGAAAGAGAACATGAAAATGTGAGGAAAATTATACAATAGGGGAAGAACTGGAGGGGAGATATAGGTTGGATTGGATCCAAGCATATTATATTCATGCATGAACATTAAACTATTAATAGATCTGAGCCAGGAATAGAATTCATTGGTAGAATATTTGACAACAATCCACAAGACTCTAGGCTCCATCCACAGTACTGAAAAGAAGGATAAGGAATAAACTTTTAGTAAATATTTGTAACCAATAATTTAAGATATCAATTAGTAATGTATAAATATTTGTACTCTTTATAGTTATCAACAAAAATTAAAATTATGTTTAAAATTTCAACAATCATAAAACCCAAAACATAAACTCTTTGGCAATAAGCACTAAAAATTATGTACTATGAGAAAAAAACATAAGAAGTATGTGGGGGGGTGTAGCCATAATTTGTGTACTAAACTATATTAAGTTGCAAATGCTTCCTAGAATGTTAATAAATTGGGAACAGTTCCAACCAACACCATAAAACTGAAATTTATTTGGTAATAATAGATGTAGTCTAAATTTACCATTAAAAGTTTCAGAGTATAGTATTTTGCATTAAAAGATATCAAGGTTATTAAAAGAATAAAGACTGAAGAAAAAGTGACACCTGCACAGTGAACAAGGAGACTAGAAAAATCAGAAAGAAATACAGAGTTACATGCAACTTGATTTTTACAAAGAAATTAGCCAGCCAGAGTGGCACACACCTTTAATCCTAGCACTTGGGAAGCAGAGGCAGGCAGATCTCAGTGAGTTCAAGGGCAGCCTGGGGAATAAAGAGAGTTCCAGGACAGCCAGAGCTGTTACACCAAAAACCCCTGTTTCAAAAACAACAAAACAGAAAAAAATTAATATAATAATTTAGTAAACATGTATCATTGCAAAACTAATTTTATTATATTTAAAAGAGTAAAATCTCAAGTCAAACATACTATTCTTCCAAACTTATGACTTGCACATCTGAAATATATCAATATTTTTAAGGGAAAATAGACTTTAAAAATAACAAGAAAATAAATCTTTTTAAAAAATCAAATGTTTTTAGACTCAACATAGGAAAATAAATTTTACCATGCACTTCTTAGGACAGACGATGCAATAGCTATAAGAGTAATCTATTTTATCTCACCAAGTTTAGAAGTTTGCTAGTTGGGATGGAGAGATGGATTAGTTGTTAAAGGCTAGGCTCACAACCCCAAACAGAAGTTTGCTAGTAAAACTGTGAATGTAGAAGGTATATAATGGGAATAAATAGTCATGATCCCTACCTCTACTTCTCAACAAAGACCAATTTTTGTTTAGAACATGTAAGTATGTTTTCAAACAATTTTAAATGTAAGGGGGAAAAATTGGCTTAAATTGGCATTTTGAAGGGAAATACATAAATGTATTAAAAATTAATTAAATAACTAGGCATCTGTAATTGACAATGAGCACATGATGCCTGAAATTGAAAATCATAGCAGCAAGATTTTGGATGATGGAACAATAGGGCTCAGATAGACTCAGTAAAATGGAAAGTACAAAGTTGGAGCTAGAAAATATGGTATCTTCTAAGTTTATCATTATCCCATATCCATCATTTCATAAAGACATTAATCTCTAAAATCATTGGTAAGCACAGAGAAGACGTGTCCATCTAAAGATTAGCGCAAGGATGTTCATGACAGCTTTATTCATGACTGTTCCACTACAGGAGTAAACTCAAAATGCCAAGAAATAGGGAAACATTTTTATATAAACAGAACCTTTCAGCAATTTTTATGGATTAATTATTGATGCAAATGAATAAATAAATATTCAGTCATTATATGTAGTTAATATACCCTCTAACATACCTAACATAGCACATATTACCAAACATGTATGGATTTTTAGACAGGAAAGTGAAACTGTCTTGCATCAGGTGAGCTGTCAAGGGTTGAAAGGAGTCGAGTGGACTAGAAATGGGCACCAGTGCCAGATTTAAGTTAAGGAAAAAAAATTATGTCTTTACAGTGACATTAAATATTTAGGTATATGCACCTGCAAAACTATGAATATGCATGTTTTATATATACATAAATATCATTTTTTAATAAGTCAAATTCCAGTTAAGAGAAAAGTGTAGAAAGCTTATGATTTTATAATTTTTAGTCTTTATTTCTATGAATTCATTTTTACATGCTAACTGAAAAGGAGGTTATGCAGTGTTTATTTTTTGTGCCTTAACATAATGCACTCTAAACTCATCTATATTGTTAAAAACAACATTCCCTTCTGCTTTTAGGGTATCTATCTATCTATCTATCTATCTATCTATCTATCTATCTACCTATTATCTATCTTTCTATGATTATTAATGCTCAAGATGATACCATTATCTGTTTTAAATTCTCCATAGTAAAAATGTATAAAATGTATATCTCATCACAGTAAGTGCCATATAACATTATGTGATTTGCTTTAAAAATGTCTTACATTTTGCAGTGAATTTTAGAGATAATATAATTTACTTGAATAGGAATTATTTTCACTCAGTAATAAAATAAAAATATCCTAAAACTGGGTTGTCTTACTTCTTAATCACATTATTATAGCATAAAATAAACATCTTAGAAGATTATTGTGCCATCATTATGTTTTGAATGAATTGCCTTGTATTTCTGATGCAGTCATTATTTGTACTAAGTGTTCTTATTCATATCTGTTATTCTTCTGTCATTAAGGGACAATTTCCCTTTCAATCTATTCATTATACTGACTCTCATTCTAGGATTGCACGTATTTGGTGTCTAAAGCAATAATATCCTTTATATGAGAACTAATAACAGTATATACCTACATTCTTAAATACACACCAATAATATATTAATTGATTTCAAAATTTAGCATTCATGGCTTAAGAAACAGAATGCCACCACATTTCTGGAATTCATTAACCATTTATAGATGATGACCCTACAACTAAACCATCTCCACACTTATTCTCCATTACACCTTTCCCAACAGTAGTATAAACATGCATTTACTTGAAGAACTCAAGCTTTCAAAGATGCTCTTACCAGGTCTTTCTGATCCATTCTGTCTTATCCACTTATATCACATAAATTTCTTTGCTCCACTGTTGGTGATTAGGGATTCATTTATTTATCATGGATAGTCACACTGTTTGGGTACAGAAAAACCCACATTTACAACTGTACTATGTCACTTACTGATGGCTTTGGAAAAATTATTTTCATGAGCTTTAATTTCTTTGTCTGTAAAGAGCTGTGACTGTAGTAACACTATCAACAGGAGGAGTTGAGTGGAATGCCTTGATGGCAAGGCTTTATTCACACTAGGAGGGAATAAATTTTCATTATTATTGTGCATGAGGACAGTTGTGGTTCTAACATCTGAGTGCAAATAAAATTTTTGTTAATCATTCAGACAAAAATTAATTATTCTAGAAGGATTATTATGAACTGAGTCTGCACCATTCAGTATAGTTGAAAGTCAAGAAGTTCAGTTAGATCATCATTCTACCCACACATTACCTATTTTGTTAGGTGGCAAAAGGAAGAATCAATTAAGAATCCATTACCGATACTTATTTAGATAAAACACCATTTAAGAATAAGCTTATGCGTCTCCTGAATTGCACTGTGAAACCTGGAACATGTGTGGAAGACTTGATTCAAATTGGCCCTTCCTCACTCAAACTATCCTCAACCTGAAAAACATTAAGTCCTTTCAGAATATGACTCATTAACATTTATTAGCACATATATTGGAGCCCATAGTACAAGGTCATATCTAAGGGCTCTTAAAGCCATGCCAAGTGTATCCAAGAGGTCACTAAGAGTCAACATGAATATGTCAAGTACAGATCATGGCTCTAGACACCAGGCATTTATTAAGGCCCTTATCAGAGAAGACTGTACCCTGCCTTGTCTGGGACCTTCCCAAACATAATGACAACTGGAACAAAGTAAGGTGACACTTTTACCTGTGCTGCACCTGTAACTAGTACCATCTGATAGAACTTCCAGTATCTCTTCTGGGTCCACTGTACCAGACTGCCTCACTTTCATTGAAATGTTTAA